TTCTTCATCTGCAACCTGTGGGAATTTTCAAAACATGCTTTTTTAAAAGTGGCACGTATAGTATTCTAATTATTTGTATTCTTGTTTGTTTTCTATTCTCCAACATCACTCCTGTTAGGTTTTCAGCTTCTTGAAGGCAAAAGATGTTTCTTCTTTGAACTAAACAGTAGTTTGTTGAATAAAGGCAGAAATTAGTGGATGAAGTACACAAGAGAATCTTCCCTTGAAAGGAATATTTATGGAAATATGAATGTTACTGTAATAAAGTTAAATCTTCAACTTTCTCTCATTTACCATGTTTAATGTGACCACCACTGCATGCACGGACCTCAATGGCAAAATCTACCAAAACCAAGGGAGAGAAAAAAATGATCATTTAAAATCTTATTTAAGTTAGGTATTCAGTTTCAAAAATTTTACTATTTAGATATAGCTTAAACTAAGGTTTTCAGAAGGTTAGTATTGTTTAGCGCAGGTATCAAAAAAGAACAATATCCCTCTTAAAGGGAACATGTATAAAGATATTCATAACCTGAGAAATAGAAAATCTTATATCATTCTTTTATGGGTAAACACAGACTAATGTAGAAAGGCCTGAGTGCTCAGGCACCCTCAGGGAATGTGGTACATGGGTTAGGAGCTTTCCAGATATTTTTAGAATCAGTATTTCCCCAGGTGTCACTAAAAAGAAGTATTCATAGGTTGCAGCAAGTAACCAAAACAATTTAATTTAATGAAGTAGGAAAAAAATCCAAAAGAACAGTATAAAGTTCAAATTAAGTGGATTCCCTTGAGGCAAGAAAAGCCAGTATCAAGGTCTCAAACTTGTCAATCCACTGTACAACTTGTTTTGAATTAGCAGGGTTATGGAAACGATCTCAGAAGAGTAAAGTTTTGATCTGTTTCAACAAATGCTTATACATAATTCTTAAAATGAAGAGGTATGTGTGAAGGAAAATAGAGTGTAAATAATTGTTTAAATTATGAGTGTAACGTAGATCCTCATTGTCCTCAATGATAGCCATTGACTTACAAGAGGACGTTTGTGAAAATATACACATATTTCTAGAATTTTCAGCCTATTGGCATAATGGAAAGCAAAAGTACAGTACCACAATTCAGGAACATATATATATTAGGAAAAAATATCCACCAACCATCAGGAAGAGAGGAACTCTCTGCTGTAAGTGAATAATATAAGTAGTCTTGTTGCTTAGCACTAGTTAATGTTTATTTTTGTTTAGATAAAGGTTTTAATCATGTGAATTTGCTATAGTACCAATGGAAAATCACTGGAGAAAAGTAATTTTTCCCAGCCTGTCAGAGGATAAGATATTTAGAAAACAGCCACAGTTCTATTTCTTTACAACACCCCATTGCGACGCTATGGGATATATGATTACCATCTTAGGAACTGTCTAGAGAACATAGAAGAGAGAAAAGATAGCTGAAGGTCGCAGTGCAAATGTTCAATCCTGTGATGGATGGACCTTCCTTGTTTTTTGACACAGAGGCTGTAACATAGGTAATCTGCACAATAGCTTCTGTGGTGATATTTTTCTGTGCGTGATATTTTCTTTCCATTTGAATTTTGCATAAAGGTCAACATCCTTTGTTTAAAATTTTCTTTCACAAGCATCCTAGTCCCTGAAACTATTAGATTCAGCTGCCTTATTTTTCTTTTCCTCTATCACCTCCATTTGATGACTTGATTTATTTGATTTGCTGTCCATTTTGAGAAGGCTTATAGTAATTTGGATGCTGGTGTTCTCTCTGGGTTTAAAATGACTGGTATTTTAAATAAGCATCTTAAAGTTATAATAAACACTCTTCTTGAAAAAAAATTTACAGCACTTCCAAAGAGTTGATAGATTTGCAAAATAAGAGTTATTGCTATCTTTTATAAAATTGACAATATTGTTTTACTAATCATAAAATATATAGAAACATAGTGAAAAATATTGGTAATTGAACAGAAGTAAAAGTGATAGTTTGTATTTCTTAAAAGTCTCTAAACTAAGGCAGTTTATTCACTTTTAGCTTACTCAGTGATACTAGAATAAGAAAAAGTATACAACTACAAATTCAAGTGCCTCTTCCGGTTTGTGAGGAAATGTTCTGTTTTCTTAGAATTAGTCTCTGACCTGTTGGTAATGAAATTATGTCTAGTCATTATTTTGCTAAATCTTAACCCCTTATACAATAGATCTTCATCCCCCCAAACACTATTTGAGTATTTCCAAGAGTCCCTAGGAGTATCTCAAATGGGATTATTAATAAATGTAGTATTTATTTCATCATTTATTTTTCCTGTATGCCTTGTCTATTCTTTCTATTAAATATTACGTTGTTCTCCCATGTACCATCTTTAATGCACTAGAGCTCAAGAAGTTCAAAAGATCTTACAAAGTGGGAAAGAAATCTTTATCACTTTTGGTGTTACTCTCTATTTGAGTGTTGTTAAAGTGTTCAATAAACTATACAGAATTTTTAGTGAAATATCTGTTTTAGGTTTTAATAACAAGTCTGACTTGCTCCTTCCCCAGCTCCAAACTCAACTGAGTCCTGTGTAGAAGCTGAGTTTGGACATATCTGAGTGACAGAAGACAAACTTTACCAGCAATTGCTACTCTTCCCTTTTGATCAGGGCTTTATTACTGAGTCAAACCTGTCATGCACATATACCTCTTTCTTTATTGGGTGTTCTTTCTCAGGAGTCTCCTTAGTGGCTTACACAGGACTGTCTCTAACTTCTCACCATACCTGATAGGAGCTCAGATTTGAAGTCCCTCTCCTGCATGTATAATCTCAAAGTTGAATGATTCTTTAGAATCTTCTTATTTAGTCTTGGATTTCATATTTTACATAAATAGCTAACATAACTGGTAGACAGACTACTTGCAAGGAAGTTTGATTTAGTGATTACTTGTAACTTTCTAAAATTGTTATGATAGCTATCATAAATGAATAAAAAATGAATGACTGGAGATTTCAGATGTGATTTGAAATCACATAACAGTTCATAAAAAAGAACCGAAAAGCCTTTGAATATTTTGGGGCACTTTTGATTGGTATGTTTTTTCAATGGTGATGGCTTTTTATGAAAAGTTACAAGCAAGTAAATGCAACTATAAAACAACAAAATGGTTTTGGAAATTAAACAAGTTTCAACTCACACACGAAACTGCTCAAAATATTTGGAACAGTGTACTCTGGTGCAGCAGAGAACAAAATGAGATGGCAGTCAGAGCAATTACCCCTCCAGACTCTATCAGTAAAATGTAGAAAGTGAATTCGTTCTTTAGAGTTTTCCTACCCCTAAAATTACTTGTTTTTTTCCATTTTGGATCCTACTGGATTCAAAAGCATTATATATTTTCTCGAAATTCACAAGAACCCTACCATAAACAGGTCATCTTAAGGCAAAACCTCCATGCTATGGTGTCATTATTCTATTCTGTACCCTGCTAAAACAGCCTTATGCAAACTGACATGTTGGAAAATATTTCAATAACAAATTTGTATCTCTTCTAGGAATGTTTGTACTGTAATGGTAAACCATGATTTAACTTAAAGGATCTCTGATGTTGGGATTTTGGATATTAGTGATAGGTGAATGGGGTGATATGTGGGTAAAATTAATACCATTCTCACAACCCATCAAATTACATGAAAATGGTACTCGATGCACTTTCTCCCCTGAAAACTGATGTTCAGGACACACTGTAGTGGGAGGCTGTAAGAGGAAAGTGCACACTGAAATTAAGGCTGTGGAGGCAGAAATAATTTTGTAATTACCGGGAGCCAAATGTGAGGATCACCCTGGAAACACCATCCAACACCAAGTCAGAGAAGTGCTCTGTGTCTATTACAAATAACAGAGGATTTGTAGAAAGAAAAAGACTGAAGAAAGCAGAACCAAAGAACAAAAAGTTACATTTCAAAGTTACTTTACTTGTCAGGTGGGGAAAGGGAGACAGAACAACAGGAAAATAGCTGATTAGTTAACATCGGGTTACTTCAGGTTATCTTTTTTGTGTAAGGATTAAAGCAGAGAGAACTTCATTATCATACCTACTGAAAATTTAAACTGGCCTGTTAGGGAAATTGGCTCTTATTTCTCTCTCCTGATTTCTCAGAAGGTAAGACCACGCCTATGTGATTTGCAGCTTAGCAGAGATAACTTTACTTTGATATTTAGTGCAGGAACTTGTCCAATACAATGGCCTCCTACAATTTTTACTTAACAAAAGCAATATAATATATTAAGAAGAACATGAGATTTGGAGTCCTGTGTCAACATTTTCCACCATATGATCTTGGATAGTCTCCATTATTTCAGTAAATAGAACATGTTAATAATACCTATGTCACTGAGTTTAGTTAGGAAAAAATATGTATTGCAGATTCAGATTTTCATGGACTATTAATGTGCCACATTGAAAATGGACCAATACTAGCAATATAGAATTCGTTTTCCATATGTACATGTGTATACAGAAATTTTACATGTTAGGTATATAACCACTTTACAAAATATGGTATATGAATATTTTTACCTAAACTCCCTCATCTACAACAATTATCTGCATTTCCGTTATGGTTTTTATCAGTAGTCTTGGAGATTTTTAGTATCTACCATTTAGGGGAGAGTTTTAGAGGGCTACATGTCGAGGGGACTTATCTTAAGTATGGTAAAACCTCTGCACTCCAGTTTCCTTAGGGCTTCTTTCCTTCGGTGGATGAGTTTGATTTCAAGCCATTTGGATATAGATGAGTCCCTTCTGTGCACATAAATAATGCTATGGTGAAGAAGAAAACGACATTAGCACACTTGCTGGAGGGCAATGATGACATATCCACTATAAAACAGGGTGGGGCAAAAGGAAAATACTAAAGATACAGGAATGACAATGATTTGCATTATCTTAGGATACAAATCAAACATTTTTAACCACACTGATACTTATTATTATTATTATTATTATTATTATTTGTAGGTGGGGCAAACTGAGAGGAGCACAAGGGAAGAAAGAAAAATTTTGGGTATGTAACTCTTTCCATTTGAATTCCTTCTGTGAAGCGAATACTTCAGAATCTTCTGTGTCCCTGCTTCCTGCTTTGTATTGTTCAGCAACATCCCAAGTCACTGTCGTATCATTTATAACATTGGTGTTTTCTCCAGCAAAATACTAATCATGATCATTTATATCATTGTAATAGTTTTCCTCAACTCCTATTATTTCAAATTATAAAAGAAGAATTAGTATTTTTTTCCAAATTAAAAATCAACAGGACAACTTTTTGCTCCATGATCCATATTAAACTTAAAGTAATGCTTAGATTTCCTTTGTACATGAGGTTCTTCAGAAAGTTCATGGAAAGATTTGTATTTTCTTTTAATTCTATTTTTCCACAATCTTTTTGAAGTACACTTCTATGCATATATGTCAACCAATTTGATACCTTTGTTATGTTAGTCTAGTCACAAAAATACCAAAAAGTTACAGGTCAGAAATAACTTGAAGAACATTAGAACATATTACCTCAAATATTCAGTTGATTACAATGAACTTGGTCAATTGTCTCAAGTCCTTATTTTATACACACACACACAAACATACACACACATAGGGATTTTTTTTGCAGAAATAGAATAAAATCTAGGTGGTGATACTTAACATGGAATTTAAATTTGAATGTATGCAGTAGACGGCATATTATAGCTTACAAAAAAGTAGCTTATTAAAATTTGGTATTATGTTTTTAAGTAGTAGGATTCTCTTTTGTATTTAAACTGGATAGAATAAAATCTAGGTGGTGATACTTAACATGGAATTTAAATTTGAATGTATGCAGTAGATGGCATATTATAGCTTACAAAAAAGTAGCTTATTAAAATTTGGTATTATGTTTTTAAGTAGTAGGATTCTCTTTTGTATTTAAACTGGGCTTTTTAAAAAAACCATTTCCTCATTAAACTTGAAGTAGCCAGAAATCTACAATAATATCCAATAGTTAGAATAAATAAATTGTGAAAGAGGTTGTGTTATTTGAATACCTACAGTTCAGTTTCTGTGTGGGATTTTTATTAAATGAATTTGAATGATTATCTCATAATATAATATTTAGAGACAAAAATGAGTTATTTGATTAATGTATTTAACTCATGACAGTTCTTAGCACATAGCACTCTATAGCTGTTTGTCAAGTGAATATAAAGAAATGTGCAAAGGAAACACTTTCTGATTCTCTCATCCTCAACCTGATCATTTCCACCCTAGAGCCCCGTAGGTGGTATACACTTATGTACACACACACACCACACATGTGCACACTCATACATACACACACTCATTCTCATATATTCAACACAAATATGCACACTATCCTTTTTAAGTATTTTGTTGTAGTTACTATCAATTCTGAGCTTACTACTTATCAAACATTTTCAATGAAAACTTTATTTTATATGGGTAGGAGCAGGATTTTTTTCTGTTGCGATTCTTTTGAATAAACTGTCGAATGTAAGTGGTAGAAATAAGAGAATCATACTGAAATTTATAAAATTTTATTAAATTGCATAGTTTGGTTGGCTTTTTACTCCACTAAACTCTTTACTCATCTTGGGCCAGGATTATGTTTGCCTTATTTACCAATGTATTCCAACGGCAAAGTATAGTTGTTATCAGGCACAGGTCCAGCTGCCTGCTCCCTTTCAAAAACAAACCACTCAAAAGTCAGTGTTGGTGAAAATGGAAGTCAGTTTTAATTATGGAATAATGGAGACTTGAGGAGAGATGTTAGGCTAACCCATGCCTCTGATAAACCTGAAGGAAAATGGCCAGACAAAAACCATCTCAAAGATTTAAATTTATTGAGGGGTTTTTAAAGAGGGGGCTGAGGGAATGGAATGTGGTAAATGAAAAGCAGGAGGGAGGGCGACCTGACTGTGGGAGCTCAGTGCAAGGAGCCAGGTGCAAGGTCTTACCAAGGCTCCATCTGTTTTCTGCTCCCATCCTCGCTGTTACCTGCTGGAGCAGTAGAATCAGCATAGCTTTACTGATGTCTTTCTTGGTTTCCCAGGTTTTGAATAGTATGTGCATTTCTGCAGCTCCAGGCTGACTGGAAAACAACTTTACATTCATGTGAATAATGTCACATTGCCCCATAACCAAGGTTCATGATGTCAAATAACCATGGGACAAGAGGGAACTCAGCAAAATGCATGGCATGAAAAAAAAACTGTGTCCTTTTAAAATCTTTTAGAGACCATGAAGCTTTAGCTCCCAACATGGCTTCAGTCCTGCTCACTCCAACACAGTGACTGGTACATAGTGGGAATATAGACAATATTCGTTGAGTGATTGAATAACTTTAATGTATGCATTCAGGAAAAACTGGTTAAGTTGCCAAAATAGTTTTATTTTGTATAAACTTCATAGTGGTTTAATTAAAATATGAAATCTTTAAGTACTGTTGTACTGATTTGTAAAGAATTGTGAAGGGTTTGAGGTGTTATCCCACTATAAATATACATATATACATACACTTGGGTCAGCAGTAAACAGATCTTAATTGATGCTCATGACCAGATCAACAGGCAGAGTAGCATCTCAGCATCACAGCATGGGTTCCCCACACCTTAGTCTTGCAGGTGAAGTGATGTGATAAGAGCCAATGGAATTTTTTTACACAAGTAGCAGTATACATCCCATAAGTGAGGAACAGAGAATTAATTTTCTTAGTATAGAGGACAGAAACAGGCAGATTCCTCCTTTCCTGAAAGAAAAGAAAAAGCTTTTATTTCATTAAGATTAGACAAAATGATCTTGTGTTCTCATTCTAACCTGTAGGAATATAAACATGTCTTTCCAAGGGCCAGACAAACACCAGACAGTGTCACCAAATGCTGGGCTTAATCTCTTTTGACATGTAAATACTGAGGGAAATAATGTTTCAGTACCTCTGGCACCGTGGGTTTTAATTTAGGATCCTGTCTGTGCTCTAACTCTTTGGTCCTCTTGGGGAAATAAGAGAAGTTTTATTATCCCTTCAGATCAGTTTAAGAATACTGAGGGAAATAATGTTTCAGTACCTCTGGCACCGTGGGTTTTAATTTAGGATCCTGTTTGTGCTCTAACTCTTTGGTCCTCTTGGGGAAATAAGAGAAGTTTTATTATCCCTTCAGATCAGTTTAAGTAACTAGACAAATAGCTATAGATCTAATTCTCATGGCATGTGAAGAGTAAAATATTTCTGGGAGAAGTGAAAGCAAACATTCTCTATCTTTATACTACATACATTTTATGTGAGTCAGGAGACTAGAATTTTTTGTAAGAGCACTGAGAAACTCAGGGAAGTTTTATTTACTCACCATTATATATGGATATTTCAATATATTTACAAATAAGCCTAAAACATAGGCCTATCTGTATTAAAAAAAATAACTGAATAGCTTCCACTACTGAGGGAAATGTAATAGACAGCAACAAGCCATGAATTCCACTAAGTAGGTAGAAAAGAACAACAGACTTTCCCAAACTTGTGTTTTTAAAGAAACGAGAGCTGAATCTGGAGATTTCTGTTTGGAGCATTTGGTAGGTCTGGGCATAGGCTGAGGATTGGGTTTGTAATAGGCAGAGAGAACCTCTAGGAGAAAGAGAATCTAGCTGAATTGGAATCTAGAGGTACCCAAAACACACAGCCATTTCTTTCCATGTAATATTCACTCCATGCTGGAGTAGAGTGAGAAGCTAAGAAGCCGAGATGAAAAATCAGAGTAAAATCTTCTGCAGCATTGCAGAGCCTGTGGAGAGTCCCACCTGAATAGAGCCTGAAACCAACACATGATGGGTATAGTCCTCTAAATATTTGAAATCAGGTATGGACTGAATTTAACAAAAGCTTTTCTCTAGCTTTGACCCAAGTCCATTCCTAACTGAGGGACCAGACTGAGGTGCTCAGCTCCTCTCATATCTCTCTATACAAAGAAAGTGCTAATCTTCTTTAGTAAAATATAAATCTAATTCCAGTTTCTTTAACTAGTATAACAAAATATCACTTTAAATACATTTAAAAATTATATGACAGGCAAAGCAGAAAAGCATGACCAAAAATCAAGGGAAAAACTATCAATAGAAGCAATAGATGACACTTTACAGATATGCTTTAAAATAACTATTATAAAAACAGTAAGAAAAATATCTGTAATCATGGTGGCTAAGTTTTCCAAATTAAGAAAATGATACCGAGACATTTCATGATCAATCAGCTGAAAATAAAAAGTACACACCATGTACAACAGGGAGCAGGAATCTTGGGGTCTGTCCTAGATTTCTGCCTGTTGTAGAACCCATTCATGACCTAAAAGCTCAGCAAATTAGGAATAAAATGGACCTCCTTTCATGTTACACAGTATATCCTCAAAAACCCTACAGCTAACTTCAAAATTAATGGTAAAATACTGAAAACTCATTTTTAATAATTAAAAAATGAAGCATGGACATTTATTGTTATCATTATTTTACTAGGGGTTCCACTAGTGCAGTAAAGCAAGAAAAAGAAATAAAGAAGAAGTTTGGAAACAATTACAACTGACATTATTTGAAGGTGATATGATTATGTATACAGAAAATCCAAAAATCTAGAAATGAAAATTAACTATTAGAGGGCCGGCCCGGTGGCGCATTCAGTAGAGTGCGGCGCTTGGGAGCGCGGCAGCGCTCCCACTGAGGGTTCGGATCCCATATAGAGACCGGTCCGCTCACTGGTTGAGCGCGGTGCGGGCGCGACACTGAGGGTTGCGATCCCATTGCCGGTTGCGGTATGGGCGCAACACCGAGAGTTGCGATCCCGTTACCGGTCATGAAAAAAGACAAAAAGGAAAAAAAAAAAAAAAGAAAATGAACTATTAGAAATAAAAAAGCATATTTAGCAAAGTTTCTGAATATTACCTCAATATACAAAAATAAATTATATTTATATGGAGTAGCAAGAAACATTTGGAAATTGAAATTAAAAATAAACACTACCTAGCATGACATAACTATTTAAAAACCTAGGAAACATTTTAATGAAAGTTGTGCAAGACTTTTACAGTCCTAAAAGAGATTGAAGAAAACCCAGTCTACATAAAATAAGAGATACACCATGTTCATGATTTGGAAGGCTCCTTATCGACATGTTGATTGTCCCTGAGTTGATCTATAAATTCAATGAAATCCTAATCTAAGTCCTAGCAGATTTTGTGTGTGTGTGTGTGGTGGTGGTGGTGGGGGGGACTATATTGAAAAAATGATTCTAATTTTTATATGGAAAGCAAAAGATCTACAGTACCTAAGACAACCTCAGTGGACAAGAACAAAGTTGGAGGACATAGACTACCAGATTTCGAGATGCAATATAAAGCTACAATAATTAAGATAGCATTTATTAACACAAGAATAGAGAAATAAATTGATTAATAAAATAAATAATCCAGATATTGAAGCACACAGTCACTTGTTTTAAAACAGACATCACTGCATTTCAATTGAGAAAGGAGAGTTTTTGTAGTACATAGTGCTAAAGAAGGGGTTGGCAAATTTTTTCTATAAAGGGCCAGATGGTAACTATTTCAGGCTTTAAGGGGCACATACTGTCTCTGCCATATATTAGACTTAAAAAAAAATTGTGCAACTTTTAAAAAATGTAATCAAAACAAACAAATAAAATACTCTTAGCTCATGAGCTATACCAAAAAAGGCTGCTGGCCAGATTTGGTCCATGAGCCATAGTTTTGCCAATGCCTGTGCTATAGAAATTGTATATACATGTGAAAAAAATAAATCTGGACCCCTACCTCACAAAATACACACAGAAATAATTTGATATGGGGCATAGACCTAAATGTGATTGCAAGATAATAGTTTCTGGAAGAAAACATAGGCAAATATTTTAATGATATCAATTAGGCAAAGCTTTCTTAAACTAGACACAGAATAATGAACTTCATAAGGAAAAAAAAAATAAATCAGACCACATTAAAACAAGAACTGCTATTCAAACATAGGCAAATATTTTAATGATATCAATTAGGCAAAGCTTTCTTAAACTAGACACAGAATAAAGAACTTCATAAGGAAAAAAAAATAAATCAGACCACATTAAAACAAGAACTGCTATTCAAAAACAGCATTATGAGATAGAAAAAGTAAGCCAAAGACTGAGAGAAAATTATCTATCTATCTTTCTATCTATGATCCATCCATCTATCTAGAAAGATATCTGGTAAAAACTCACATATAGAATATGTAGAAAGTCTTACAAATACATAGGTAGACAAAAATTGAACAAAAGTCTTAAACAGGCACTTTAGAAAAAAGATATCAAAATGTCCAACAGACATATAAAAAGGTATCAATGTATTAGTTATCAGGGAAATGCAAATTAAACTACAATGAGATACAACTGGATTGGTTAAAACTGAAAGGATTGATAATACCAAGTGTGGATAAGGATGTGGAGTTACGAGAACTTTTATACTTCTGATGAATGTGTGGATGGTACAACCACTTAATGATCATGATGTTATCCACAGGAGAATGGATAAATTGTGGTATAGTCATGCAATGAAAATAAACAGCAGTAAAATGCATGTATTTCTTATATGTGTCATAACATGCATAAATCCCAGAGACGTTGTTTTGAGCTAAGAAAGCCAGACACAAAAGACTACATACTGCATTATGTCATTATTATAAAGATCAATTATAGGAAAAACTGATGAGAGAGAGGGAAGGTGGACGTTGAGAAGAAAGTGACACGGTAGACCTTCTGGGGTGCTATATGTGATTTATATCTTGCTTTAAGTAGAGATTACACAGGCATAAACTTCAAAAACACGTGTATAAATTCAGTAAACCACACACTTTAAATATGTGACTGTATCATATATCTCAATATAAAAAATGATAAGTTAAATCTTTAGATATTTTCTCCCCTGCATTACTCCCCTTTTCTTTATAATTAAATACAAACAAATGCAGGTATTTGGAGGAAACAAACACAATAGGTGATGAAATGGAAGAATTGAGAGTAGGAAGAATGAAATTAATAAACAAAATACATGTCTTGCGGTGGCTTTTATTAGTGTTAATTTACAAAGTCCCACTCTTTATAAATAGGTTGCCTTTCTTGCAAATCTATAGTTTAGTTAGCTCTCGTTAGCACATAAATTTGTGTTTGCTTATAAAATCTTCACATACCCTTCTCGTGTTTACCAAAGATCTAATAATGAAATTTTGGACGGTAGTATTCTTTAGACATTCAATGAGAATAGGTTCAGGGCTACATAACATAGTTTCAAGAATTTAAAGATATTAATATTTCTAACAATTTATCTCAGATTGTGAATAATTTTGTTTGACTTATCAGCCTTTAGAACTATATATATAGGAACAGACTAGGAAATATGGAAATTGGAATTTAGTTTAGTCCATTGTTCCTAAAACTCCCACACAGTTTGATGTGGTCTCATTTTCAGCTATTCAAAGTCCATTCCATCTTTGAAGTTGCAAATTGAATTCATAATTTTAGAGACAGCTTTGAGAGTGCTCTGTTAAGGTGTCAGAGCTGATTAAAGAGGCAAAAAGCTAAATCATAAAAAGAAATTCCGATGGTAATTGGCTATTTCTTAAAGCTAAAGCTGTCATGACAATTTCTGATGCTGAGTGAATCTGCCAATCTCTCCAATGGTAGAAAACAGTGGAAGCTCAATGCAACACCATATGCCTTGAGAATATCAGTGTAGATCACACCCAGAAAACTTCTCATCTTAGCCCAGTGTAGGGTGAATGTGAGGCAAATGTGGAAGCTGTTGTTGTTGTAAAGTCTCCAATTTACTGACTTTTCTGCTTCATTTCATTGTGGGCAATTAACTCCCTTCTGTGTGCCCTTTTGGACTTCATATTTTCTGCATAATTCATTAAAGTTTTTGCTTCACCATGTGCTTATTCACTCAAACTTTAAGCCCAAAAGTCCTTCTGGACCTATTCCAACTCTCTAATCATCCTCATATATATTTTTATTTTTTGTCTTTTTCCGTGTCCGGCAACGGATCGCAACCCTCAGTGTTGCCCCTGTACCGGACCGGGGACCGGCAACGGGATTGCAACCCTCGGCGTTGCTCCCGCGTCTCGCTCAGCCAGTGAGCGGGAACCGGTCTGTACGTGGGATCCGAACCCTCAGGCGGGAGCGCCACCGCGCTTCCCAAGCAGCGCACTATCCAGTGCGCACCGGGCCGGCCCCCATCCTCATATTTTAAAAAGGGAGTGCCACCGCGCTTCCCAAGCAGCGCACTATCCAGTGCGCCACCGGGCCGGCCCCCATCCTCATATTTTAAAAAGGAAAAAAAATAAAAATAAAAATAATTTTAATTTGTATTGATTTTACTATCTGAAGAGTTCTCAAATATTTTCTCTATCTCTATTTTCCCTGACCCAGTTGGGTTATCCAACTGAATTATTATAAGTGTCTACCAGGTAATCTCCCTGCCTTTTGTCTTTACCCTCTAAAATCCATCCACCTCATATCATATAGCTTAATGCAATCAAAGTATAAACTTTCCCACCTTGTCCTGCTGAAAGCTATGCAGTGACTTGCCATCATCTCCACCATTATTTTATCAGTGCGGATGTCCTTACTCCCCTTCCAGCCTCTTAACCTACCAATGTGTTTCTGCCTCATGCTCTAATTATAACAATTTTGTTGCTTCATTTCATTGCTTCATGCTGCTTCATGTTTTGGTGTTTATGCTTTTACTGTTTCCCTTCACCTGAATCTCCTTTCCTCCTTTTTTTAATCTGGTGAGTTTATGCTCAAGCTTTAATATGCATCTCATGTGGCATTTCTTTCATGATATCTTCCCTGAACTATGCAAATAAGCAAATGCCCCTCCTCTGACTTCAATAACACCTTGTGCATATTTCTGCTATGTTGGTCATCTTTCATTAGATTATATGCTCCCTGAACATGGAATAATATGTCATTTATTTTTGGTCTTCAGTGCCAAGCATAGGGCTGTTCATATAGTATATGTTCTCTACTAGCAGCTGTCCTCCATCTTCTGAGGTGGCATTTCAAACTCTCATGCATATAACAGCCTTTGCACTCTGGAGAACTCAGAAGAGTCACACCAGTACTGGCTATTGTCAACATACAAATATACACATATTAAGCTGATGAATAATACAGCTGTTTGTTATTTAGAAAATATTTAGATTTTTAATGATTACAGTGTATAGGAAGTCAAAGGCATTTTAAGCTACATATGAGTTCCCTGTGTATTTTACAGACAGGATTAAAAAATATCAAAGTATAATACTTGACTTTCATTTTTTGCTTTTCTGCAGATTGCTGCCAATTCCTGGGGAAAGTCATGGGGAGAGAATGGCTATTTCAGGATACTTCGAGGAGTAAATGAGTCTGACATTGAAAAGCTGATTATTGCAGCTTGGGGCCAACTGACAAGCTCAGATGAGCCATAACATATCATTAAATTTCCATAAGGTCATGCATTTAAATAACCTCTTAAGTTGAAGTTTAGCAAAATGATGCTCTCTGTAACACTGGAATCTTTTTCACTATGTTAATATAATATACCTGTTTGCTTGTTTTACCCCAGGATCTATGCTTCTACTTCCTTTATATTACTTAGTATATGAAAACACTAATAAAGGACAGCAGAGTGGCTAACTACCTTTGAAGTTCCCAGGTTGTCCTTATTTCCCTCTCATGACAATGTCCATCTTGCCATTGGTTGTTCACAAACAGTTTGATGGCATCTGTCTTAAAAGTTCATACTACTCATTTGTACAAATAGTGTAGTTTTTATCTTTGACCAATGAAGACTTCAGACAACAAAACCAAATTGGAAACTCACCAATTTATCATCATTATGACTTTCTTTTTCAACCAAATAACACTTTCTTAATTCAAACCTTGCTTATGTTTTGCTGGAGGCAGTGGAAATAGATTATTAATTGTTTCTCTCAATAAGTTGACATTGTGCTTCCTTTCATTTGCCTAAATCTAATTTGTAGTCTGGTCACAAAAGAAAAGTAACCCTCTGCAGGAAATAACTACTCTTTTTGGTACTGTGTAATGGCTTGTGATGTGGAGAAGGTGTTAAGTAATGGAGAAGCTTAAGAGGCTAACAATAGAAATACAGTCTTGACATACATGCACTCCTGTTTTGGGAAGACAGTAGTATACTTTAGTTAAAGTCTATTAAAATCAGCTGCAAAACTGTATATAGAAAGATAGCATATTTACCCATCCCCAACAGCAACATGATGCCATGAATCAGAAAGAATAAATATACTTTTATCACAACCATTTCACGGTTCACTGCTTGAGATTCTAAAATGTAAGCTAAATTGGTACTAATTTGCATCTAATTTTAATTTTAGTTTTCTATAGTCAGAGAAACCAAAATAGCATCATTATAATGGTTGGGAAAGGATATAATCTTATAATAATTCACTGGCATTTTAAATAGCAAATTAATAAATAATTATAATTACAATGATGGGATATCCATGGCCTGAATTTCTGGTCACCCTATTATCTTAATTTTCAGTGCAGGGCTTTTTTACGTTGTTGTGCCCAAAGGTGCCCTGATTAGGTAAGCCAGACATGCTCAAAATGTGAGGGAGCAGAGCACAGAAAGGTGAAGTGTTGCTGCAACTTTTCCTTTCTTTATTAATCACTCTATCTATATCAGAAGCTTATTCTTCCCTAGAAAATATACATGAGAGTGATTCACTTTGTTGAGGTTGACCGACGTTCCCCCAGAGGGTTGAGAACTAATGTTTTTTCTCAGTTTGGGTTCCCACAGAAACAGCCTGTAAGGCAAGATTGTGGGTACAAATAATTTGTTTGAGCCATGAAAAGAACACTGAGAAGGGAGTGATACAGGGTAGCAGTGGCAGACAACAGAGGGTGCATTGCCAAGCGAAGTCCACTCTCGGCAACCAGTTCTCACCCCACTGGAGACTGTTAATATGTCCTCACATCTATACTACCCAAGGAAAGAAATGTTCCTTGGTTGAAGGTGCTAAAAGGGAAATGTGGGCAGGGCACCTGTGGTATCTGCTGTGGGTGTTAAAGCACTTTTAAAACATTCGTTAGATGCTGAAGACTGCTGGAGAAATAAGTTTTAATGCACTAAAGTGCCAGACGAATAACATCCCTTTTAAAAACACTTAGGGGATTAAGTTGATCCACCTCCATCCATGTTATGCAAATGGATGAAAGATATTGAAATTAATTTTCACACTGTGGTTTCTGGGCCTAGATTTTGCTGTTTTAAAATTTCCTACTTTTCTAATGATCCCAAGTGACGAGGAACCTGGTTCCAAAGAGGAAGAAAAATGAAAGAAAATACCACTATAGGAAGCCCCATAAAAAAGCACAGGGTACATTTATCCAGCAATTATAGACTAAGAGCTAAAAGGGAGACAGAAAATAGTCGGGACAGAAGTGCACCAATGCAATAGGAAAAATATCATTCCTGAGGTTTATTGAGTCAGCGTTTTCCCTTGAATAATGTTGCTTCTCATTTTTACAACTTTAAAGAGCATCTTTGGTTATATTCATTACCCAAGGGCTCTGGATCAGCGTTCAGAAACTAGTGATTGGCATATTTTTTGGCTCACCATAGGGACTGAGAAACTATTTGTAGAATTGATTTGATAGTTGTCTAGATGGTCTTCTCCTGCACTGTGGCTTTTCGTGGCCTGCAGATGGGCCCTGCTCACCTCAGCCTGAACTGAGCAATAGTGTATTAGTCCATTTTCATAACAGAATACCTGAAACTGGATAATTAATAAAGAAACAGAATTTATTTCTTACAGTTTTGGAAGTTGGTCAGGAAGTCCAAAGTCCAGGGGGTGCACCTGGTAAGGGTCTTCTTCTTGGTGGAGAGTCTATAGGGTCCTTTTGTGACCCAGGGTGTCAAATGGTGAGGAGGAGGAAAAAGAGCTTTTTCATGTGCTCTCCTTGTGAAGCCACCAGTCTACACCCGTGATAACCCATTAAACCATTAACCCATATCACCATGAATGGATTAATCCATTCATGACAGCATAGTCCTCAAGATCCAATAACCTCTTAAACATCCCACCTCCCGACACTGCCCCAATGGGAATCAAGTTCCCAGCATGAGCTTTGGAGGGGACAAACATTGAACTCATATCAAACAGGAAGGAACACAAATTTGGTATGTCTCTTTAGAGTTTCTATTTTTGTTTGCATTAATGGGACCTTATCATTTTAAGAGTATACAAGAGAAACATTGTCCACAAAGGTCATTAGATTCAGCCAGGACAATGGGTCTCAGATTGGATGATACTGTGAACACTAAGACCCGGTTTTGGTTTTCTTTCTGTTCAAATATGTGCCATTTATGTGATTTTTATGGGTTCCACTTTAAACTGGTTACTGTGTATAGTTTTTCATGATAATAAAGGAAATAGTCCCAAAACAGGCCATTGAATTAAAGCTTGGCTACTCCACTGAATTAAATAATGTTTCTTCAGGTATCATTAGGAAATATACATTACAAAGAAGTAGAAAAGACCTTGAAGACAGGGCTCATACCTTTCCATTCGTCACAACATTTGTGTCTTATCTCATTTTATCCTCAACAATGAAAAGGCTTCCCCGACTGAAGGGACAAAGAGAAGACAAAGGTGGGTTACTGGAATCTAGGACCAATGTTATCCCAGCAGTCCTTGTAAGCAAGACTGTCTTGTCTGGTGTGAGCTGAAGCTGTGAAAAGACATGGTGCTGCCAGATTTACCACCTGAGACAGAGAGGAAGGCGGAGAACATATGAGGCTTTCCCCTTCCTCACACCCTCCAGACTCTATCAGCACCTCTCATTGGCTGACTCTGCTGGAAAACAACTGATATAAGAGGTTATAAAATTAAGCTTTCAAGCTCAGCTGCCACCTTCTACCAGATACACAGGATACAGATACACAGGATAAAGGCAAAGAATAAATCAGAGAATAAAGGTAGAAAACAAATTTTTGATTTACTCCAGATAGATATTGGAAATTAAGATTACATAAAGGGGGCCGAGCCCGTGGTGCACTTGGGAGAGTGTGGCGCTGGGAGCGCAGCAGTGCTCCGGTTCGGATCCTATATAGGGATGACCGGTGCGCTCACAGTGCTCACTGGCTGAGCGTGGTGCGGCCGGTCTCAAAAAGGACAAAAAAAAAAAAAAAAAAAGATTACATAAAGAAATAGTTTATCAATGGTTGATTTAGTTCATGAACTTAGTCCCTTAGTTAATACATATGTATTAAGTAGCTATTACATGGCCTTTTTTATGTTTTGGTTAAACTCTTTTGACCTATTATGATCTAAGCAGGGAAAGATTTTTCCCATTTTCTTCACAGTAGTTACTAGAGACTCTGAAGTTTTATCATCATTGCTTTAAAAAATATTTCAAAGAAGGAAAGTATCAATTCTTCAGGCGCCATTGTATTAGAAAGAGGACTGCTATAGAGCACACAAACATTCCCTCTCCAGAGGAGTCAATGAAGGGGAGAAACAAAAATCAGCCTAATTCTGTAAAGAGTGGGATGACTGAATGAAGGAAAAAGCTTCTTCATCTTCAGTTGTGAATACTATTGTACATCATTTTGATACCACATTTGATAGAAATGTTTAAAAAGTCATGACAGGTAAAACCTCACTTCAGCCATATTTTCTTCTGTGGTGATCAGCATGTTCGATTGTATACAATGGCTCCACAGACCTTTTTCTCCTAAAAATTCCCATTAAATCACACCCTTTCCAGTCAATATCCATTATATGCCTGCAATGTGTTTGCCACTGTGCTAGGTACTAGACATATAGCAGAGGACCCACAAGACAGTTCCTGCCCTGTCTTAGCTTACGATTTACTCTTTTGTAAAACACATTTTGGAGATACTGGCCTAGATACAATTTCAAACAGAAAGATCCATAATGAGCTCTTAGGGAGAAGTTGGCACACTCTAACCTCTGAGTTTTGATATAGCAGGAAACATTTGCCTTTATGTACAAAGCACCTTTGGTGCCATTATCAGAAAGCAGCCTTGGGCCGGTTGTACTTTAGGTCTGAGCCAGTATGAAATTTCTTATGACAGGGCACTGATACATAAAATCAAAGCCTGTGCTGTATTAATGCATAGAAGTACATGAGAAAACATTCTTCATTAGTTCCAGGACTAGTTTATGTAAATTACCCTAAGTTTTTAGTTTTTGTTCAGCATAAGCTATTGCAGGTGATGATTCCTTACTTGCCAGCTTTTAGTGAGCCATCATGAATGGGCACATCAGCTGCAGTTCCATGGGTAATCGTTTCCACTTGTTCCAATGTCCCTGCCCATTATACAAGAAATGAGAAGGCAGGAAGATACTCTTGGAAGTGATGAGTAGGTTTATGGTGATAGTTTCAGGGGTGTATTTATATCTCCAAGCTCATCAAGTTG